TTGTTTTTGACAGTCTGAAGGTCCAAGTTTTCCTTCTCGCTTTTGACTGGAGGGACAAACTGATCTCTCCTGAGCGTGAACATGTGTCGTTCAGTCGGGTACTCGTAAAGAAGAATGGCTACCCAGCGACCCCGGAAGTGCATTTTACGCGGGGGGAGGGGGGGGTCTATTATCACTGCCTATACCGTGTGTCCATACCTTAATTTAAAACTCCTGTCACGAAGCAATCTGACACAATCTAATCCTATAGTAGTAGCTATACGGTGGCATCGATCTACGGTGTCGATGTAAAACGCTCTGGAAATTTGGTCGCCTTCACGTAAAAAAATCACATTCTCAACCAAGATGTATTGTATTTTATTTGTTTATTTATTTAAATACCCTCAAGGCCAATCGGCATTAAAGAGGGGAGTGGGAGTAACAAAGTAACACGCAAAAGGAACAAAAGGGCAGAGTACATAAGGTATCATGGCGGCTCAGAACAGTAAAGAGTGTTTAAAGCATTTTTAAACATTTGGGTATCAATAATATAAATTACGCAAGTCGGAAGGTGATTCCATTCCAAAGACGTTTTACGGACGAAAGACAGTAGAAATGGCGTTGGTATTACATTTACAAATTCCAACTTTGAGGTGATGATCGATACGAGGTGAAATGTAGAATGGTGGGATGAAAAGACGTTGCTTTAAGTACGGGTTAACATGATAGATCTTGTGAAAAAGACACAAACGAGCAACTTTTTGTCGGAGAGAGAGGTTAGGCAGAGACAAGGTGATTTTCATGGAGCTTACACTGGCAGTGCGGTGATAGTTAGCTAGTATAAAACGGGCAGAACGGTTTTGGACCGCTTCCAGAACATTAATTAGATTAGACTGACTGGGTTCCCAGATAGAAGAAGCATACTTTAATTTAGAGCGAACGAGAGAATTATGCAGTGTTAATTTTAAGGCTGACGGTGCGAGAGCAAAGTTTATTTTCAGGTAACCTAGCATGGCGGTTAGCGTTATTGATGACATATTCAACATGCAGTTTTCATAAGAGGTTTCAAGTAATGTGAACGCCCAAACATTTATAAGAAGAAACAGGGGCCAAAGGGACGTTGTTGAGATCGTAGAAGGGCGCATTAGGACTAGTACCTGATATTCTCATTACTTTACATTTAGTAATGTTAAGTTCCATATTCCAATGTTCACACCAGTGGTAAACAGCATTAATATCTGCCTGAAGCTTTAGAAAATCAGAGTCGTTAGTAGATTTAGTATATATTAGGGAATCAACAGCGAAAAGATTAATTAATGATGAGACGCAATTAGGTAGGTCATTGATGTAAATGAGAAACAGTAGAGGGCCTAATAGGAATCCTTGAGTAACATTGGATGTGACGGAAGTGAGGGGAGACGTGTTCTCATTAGCAGTAACATACTGATATCGGTAAGTTAGAGCACAGGCTATCCAGGCAACTAGGTTAGGATCAATACTTAATTTGCTAGGTTTTAATTGAAGCAACTGGTGAGGAACTTTATCAAAAGCCTTGCCAACATCTAGAAAACACAGTCAACTTTGGACCCAGAATTGCGGATCGAATGAAGATCGTTAGTAAATGACAAAAGCTGTGTCTCACAGGAATGAAATTTCCGGAAACCATGTTGGCCCTTGTTAAAAAAAGAATTTGATTCCAGGAAATTAACCAATAATTTTTGTCCGCGATTAATTTAATCGTATACGAATTCTAGTGAAATTTCTTGGCGCAGCCCCGTTCATGTGAAAAGTTATAACAAGGCATTCCTGAAAATTTCAAAAAAACGTTTACCGCCAATGGGCGCGGTTGTCCTTCGGTGGTAAACATCCACTGGTGGCGCCCTTTTTTATTTCAGCATGATCCCTGTTTTTGCGTTGTGTTTAAAAAGATGGTAAAGCAGTATGGGTGTATATTAGGGTGCCCGTCTGAACATGGCAGGCTGGCTCGCCAAGAACCAAGTACTGTTTAGAAAACCAGACAGAAAAATACAGGCGAGAATACCGCGATTCTTTGATGTCTCTGACGACTACCGTGATGGCGGTGCATCAACACACACTGCAGTGGGATCTCTCCCTTGACAGCCAGCGTCGCCTGCTAAGGCCTAGGTCCTCTTACCTTGCGAGTTGGTGTACTTTATTTCCTCAACTTGCTACTCCTGTGCGAAGTCCCTCGTAATAGAAGAGCTTTCTTTTCGCGCAGACCATCTCCCCGCCTCGCGCTGCGGCTCTTCCCAGGGAAGCAATTACCCAACCCTAGTGGTTGCTCAGACCGCCGAAACAACAAGAAAACGCAGCTGCAAAAAAAGAAAAAAAAAAGCTAGAAGATATCTTTTTGTGTTTCGGGAGACGTCACTGCTAAAAATAGAAGCCAAACGAAGAAACTAATTGGCTGAGTGAACAAAAACAGCGCGCTGTGTGTCTCCCCGCATGGTCAACATCCCATTCCAGTGTGGGAGAGACTCAGGAAAATGACCCCCCCCCCCCCCCCCCCCCCCCCAAGCAGAGGAGAACAGAATACCTCCCTGACTGGTGCTATGCGGGCCCCAGGCGCCGGAATTTTTTTTCTCCCCGTTTCCTCGGAGCTACCGTGTCGTCCGAGGCTTACTGACAAATTATTTCGTAATTTTTTTTTACAGAATTTCATGGACGAAGGTTGTGCCGTGATTGGGTGAATAAGCAGACGTAACAAAACAAGGGCCACGCGCTTGCCCTCAGTCAAATACGTAGCTTGGTGGAACTGAGCAACAACAGGAACTCGGAGGGGAAGCAGGATGGTGGGGGGGGGGGGGGGGGAAGTACAGGCATTGTTCAGCAAACCTTGAGCCAAACGCACGGGAGCTGAGCATATCGCCCAGCACCCCCTGAAAACGTCAGCGGGTGCTCAAGCCCCCGTTTCCTCCCAGATTCCGAGGTCCTGGTGCCTGATCACGCTGTGTGTCTGTGTGTGTACCTCTTAGTTTTATTAGTGTCAAGTATGAACAAACTATCCCAGTCAATGGTCGTACGCCTTCCGCCGTGCCTTGGCTCGAGATGCACGAGGCGACGAAGCGCTACCAAAGGTATGAAGATCGCACTAGACAATGTGGAACTCAACCCCCTTCCTGTCATTCTCACCTTGTCGGTGACTATGCTGTCATGTCTGGGCGCGCGCCGCCGATAACAGAATATCGTAGTACGGCGCATGCGCCACTAAAAGATAAAAAGCGGTGCTCCGCTGGCTACCGCCTTCTTTTGCTCAGTTACACCACATCCATGAGCATGGTGGAATAAACCTGTCCTTTCGCCTTTGGAAACCTGCTTGTTCCTCGCTTCTAGCCGACATACAACAACTGGCGACGAGGTTGGGACAAGGACCGTCGGCCGAGAAAAGCAGGTGTTTCCGCAGGGGCGGACATAGCATCGACAGCCATCATGAGCGAAGAAGCCGGGACGCACTTCGCCGGTCGAATGGGTTATCTGGAACCATTCGACGAGTCTTCCAGCGACTGGGCTTCTTACGACGAAAGGTTAACGTCGTTCCTGATCGTCAACGGAGTTCCAGAGAGCGACAAAGTTCACGCCTTCCTCAGCATCATCGGTCCGAAGACCTACGCGCTACTGAAGTCCCTGACTGCTCCGGAGCTGCCTTCAACGAAGAGCTTCGAGTACCTCAAGAAGGCCCTCGGCGACCACCTGTCACCCAAGCCGTCCATCATCGGTGAGCGAGCCAAGTTTCACCGGAGAGCGCAACATGAAGGCGAGTCTATTTCCGAGTACGTCGCCGAACTTCGAAAACTGTCGCAAACGTGCGACTATGGAAGCGTTTTGGACGAGTCACTCCGCGACCGCTTCGTGTGCGGATTATTAAGGGAAGACATACAGCGCGTGCTGTTCACGGAAGACAGCAAGCTAACGTTCCAGAAAGCGGTGGAACGCGCCCAAGCCATGGAAGCTGCGAAGCAAAGCGCGGCTGAGGCTCGCGTCGGCAACTCAAGCGTCACTGACGTGCACAAGGTGCAAGCAGGGAATGAGAAGCAGAGGGACAGCTGCTATCGCTGCGGGTCGTCACGGCACCGCAGTCAAGAGTGCCCTCATCGGCAGAGTGTATGCCACAAGTGCGGCAAGAAAGGTCACATCCAAAGGGTTTGCCGAAGCGGGACTGACGTAGGGGGCAAGAAACGTCCGCCAGGAAAAAGGGTAAAAACGCTGGAAGTTGAAGGACGACTAGCCGTCGTACACGGCGTGTCTTCGCCCAGCCTTACCCCAGTGACGGTGCAGATGATGATCAACGGATCTGCGGTTGAAATGGAACTAGACACAGGAGCAGCGGTAACTGTAATGTCTGCTAAACAGTTTCACCAGTCTTTTCCGTCTGTGAAACTGACGCCAACTGTAGTCAGGCTTCGCACCTACACGGGAGCCCTGGTTCGACTTCAAGGCGTTGCGACAGTCAATGTGCAACATGGTGAGGCGTCAGTACAGCTGCCACTGTACGTCGTCGATGGAGCCGGGCCGCCACTACTGGGCCGGGAGTGGCTTCGAACGATACGACTCGACTGGAACAAGATCTGGGAGCTGAATCACATCTCAAGGTCAGACGTTTTTGCTTCCAAACGTATAAAACAGAAGCTTGACTCTTTGCTGTCAAAGTACGAGCCACTGTTCAACGATGAGCTCGGAACTATAACTGAAGAACGAGCAGAACTTTTCTTCAAACCGAACGAGAAACCGAAATTTCTAAAAGCGAGAAACGTTCCGTTCGCGTTGCAAACGGCTGTTGAGGCGGAGTTGTCGAAAATGGAAAAGATGGGCATTATCACTCCGGTGACTACAGCAGAATACGCCACGCCTGTCGTGCCGGTTATCAAAAAGGATGGGGGCATTCGTCTTTGCGGCGATTATAAGACCACTGTAAACCCTTGTCTTGATATTGACCGTTATCCACTTCCAAAAGTTGATGATCTATTCGCGGCCCTATCAGGAGGCGAACTCTTTTCGAAGATAGATCTTAACCGAGCTTATCAGCAGGTGGTGATGTCAGAGTCGTCAAAACGCTACCTCACGCTGAACACGCACAAGGGGCTGTTCATTGTAAACAGACTTCCTTTTGGAATCTCGTCAGCACCCGGAATTTTTCAAAGAATAATGGACACCATGCTGAAAGGTTTGAGCGGCGTTTGTTGTTATCTAGATGACATTTTAGTCACGGGCAAGACTACGGAAGAACACATGGCCAACCTTGAAGCAGTGTTGAAGCGTCTACTTGAACGAGGAGTTCGAGTCAAGAAAGAAAAATGTTCGTTTTTTCAGCCTGAACTTCGCTATCTAGGTCACAGGATCAGCGCTGACGGCATCTCGACGTCGTCTGACAAGGTGGAGGCGGTGCTCCAGGCTCCCGAGCCCAAGACAAAGCAGCAGCTCCAGTCTTTTTTGGGTGTCGTCAATTACTACGCCAAGTTCGTGCCCCATCTTGCAACGACAGCCCAACCGTTTTACAGATTGCTGCGCAAGGACGAGCCATGGTGTTGGGACCAGCTTTGCCACGAAGCCTTCAACACCATCAAGGCCGAGCTGGCGTCGCCTCCCACCTTGGCCCACTACGACCCCGACAAACCGCTAAAGCTAGCGTGTGACGCCTCTCAGTACGGGGTAGGTGCTGTAATTTTTCACGTTTACGCAGATGGCAGCGCTAAACCCATCGCTTACGCTTCGCGTACGCTATCAAACGCTGAAAAAGGGTACAGTCAGCTCGAGAAAGAGGCACTAGCCATTATTTTTGGAGTTAAGAAATTCCACTCGTATCTTTATGGTCGGCTCTTCACTTTGGTCACGGACCACAAACCACTCCAGACCATTTTAGGTTCGAAAACTGGAATTCCAACCATTGCCGCTGCGCGATTGCAGCGTTGGGCAGTCGCATTGTCGGCCTACACCTACGATCTTATCTTCAAGAGATCAAGCGAGAATGCCGAAGCAGATTTTTGCTCGCGTCTTCCACTACCGACCGTTGGAAACGAGACTAAAGAAAATGAGGAATCATTCTACTCATTGCGACTGCAATCACTGCCGGTATCTAGTAGTGATATAGCACGTGCAACAGCGCGAGATCCAGTTTTGTGCCAAGTGAAAGAATTCACAAGCGCAGGCTGGCCTGCGTCTGTCTCTGACGAGAAACTAAAGCCTTTCTTCGACAGACGCAACGAGTTGACCATTCATCAGGGCTGCATCATGCTCGGAATGCGAGTTGTTGTCCCAGGGAAACTGCAATCCCTGCTGCTGGATGAACTTCACGAAGGCCATCCGGGTATTGTGCGCAGCAAGGAGCTCGCGCGCAGTTACGTTTGGTGGCCGGGGATCGAGGCGGACCTGGAGCGCAGCGTAAAGAACTGCGTAAGTTGTCAAGAGCAACGTAGTGCGCCTGCCAAGGCACCCCTCCATCCGTGGTCATGGCCCACAACGCCGTGGCAACGTGTTCACATAGACTTTGCTGGACCTTTTCTTCAGTCTATGTTCCTTGTTGTGGTAGATGCCCACTCCAAGTGGCCAGAAGTATTCATGATGCGCTCAACCACGACGGAGAGCACGATTAACACTTTGAGAGAACTTTTTTCTCGTTTTGGCAACCCTGAAACTATCGTGTCAGACAATGGTCCTCAGTTCACGTCACGGGAGTTTAAACGGTTCACACAGGAAATTGGCTCTCGTCACGTCCTGACAGCTCCCTACCATCCAAGTTCAAATGGTTTAGCCGAACGCTTTGTACAGACCCTCAAGAACGCCCTCCGTAAAAACAAGGAGAGTGCGCCATTGCATGTGAAGTTGCAGACGTTTCTGCAGAGCTACCGCAACACGGCTCACGCCACAACGAACGAGTCACCCGCCAATTTGTTTTTGGGGCGACGTTTGCGCAGTCGCCTAGACGTTGTAAAGCCTTCTGTGGGGGAAAGGGTAGCCCGCAAACAGTTCATGCAGACTGCAAGCCGGCGTGGGCACGATCGTGACTTTGCCGTTGGTGATCATGTGCTCATCCGTAACTACTGTGGCAAACCCAAGTGGGTGCCTGGAGTGATTCTTGCGCAGCATGGCCCTGTTTCCTACCAAGTACGCGCCACCACCTCCAGAGGCAGCTTCACCTGGCGTCGGCACAAGGACCAGCTGCTAAGAACTCCAAGCCTTGCCGACGAGGACGCTGACCAGGAAGGCACAGAGTTCTTGTTGGTTCAACCGAGCGACAACGCACCCCAACCATCGTCCTCGTCACCTACTGGCGGAACTGTCCCAGCCGAAGCAGCACAAGCGCCTGCTGCCCGACGGTATCCGGCAAGAACCCGGAAACCTCCCGAAAGATTTCAAGCCGGATCTTAACCTTTTTGAGCGTGTTCAAATAAAGAGGGAGGAAATGTCATGTCTGGGCGCGCGCCGCCGATAACAGAATATCGTAGTACGGCGCATGCGCCACTAAAAGATAAAAAGCGGTGCTCCGCTGGCTACCGCCTTCTTTTGCTCAGTTACACCACATCCATGAGCATGGTGGAATAAACCTGTCCTTTCGCCTTTGGAAACCTGCTTGTTCCTCGCTTCTAGCCGACATACAACAATGCGGAGAGAAAATCGTCTGCTTCTTGCACAGGAGTTGCGGTGACGACAAAATGACGCCAAGCTCTCATAGGCTTTGATTGAAAGAATAGTGGGTAGACCTCAATGCTAGATGCCTCGAGGTCTACCCGCTATTTTCTCTTCAAACAGCCAGTGAGAGCTCGCCGTTCTGCCATGATCTCAACCCCTGTGCAAAAAGCAGACGGACTTGCGTTCCGCATACGGCGAGAGATTGGCTGAGAGCAGGATACGAGAGCGTGCAGGGACGTCAGAACACCGAGCTCGGGTTGATTACTGGGAAGACGCAAAGCTAGGTTCCCTCGCCTTTACTGACTGTTCGAACGTGTTCGCACTCCTAAGGCTGGCGTTCGGCGTTCGCGTTCGAACGCTCTCAAACAGTGTGTAGAAACGAGGGCAGCTAGCTTCGCGTCTACCTGCTAATCAACTAGAGCTCGGTGTTCTGACGGCACCGGGCTCTCTCGTATCCTTCTCTCTCTCAGCTTTTTGCCTTATCGGACGCTTAGCTTCTTCCAGTGGCATCGCTTCACGACATCTGGGCTGGGAAGTAACTCCGTGTTTACCATCAGATGTCTTTTCTAGTTATTTTTAACATCTACGTCTGCTTCTTTGATACTCTTCGATGTTTTGTGAAAAAATTCTGCCGGTATAATGACGGACGAGAATGGGCGAGACTGAATATTTTATAAACATCCGGTGTATTATTACATAGAAAGCGATCGCTCTTAATGAAGTGATGGAAAAAATAGTTATTTTAAAGTTGCACACGTGGGTCCCTCGACGTGGTGGTAATTGCATTTTTTTCAGTTCTATAATTCTTTTGTTAAAGACAACACCATATTTTTCAACAACACGTCTAGAAATACCGTACCGTCTTGTACCACTCTAATGACGCAATATTATACGATAAAACATTGACCAATTAGTTTTTCGCCGACAGCATCATTAAATATAAAGCCTTTAGTATAAATGTTTTGACGTGGCGATATCCCTCCGGGTTCGCCTTTCAAATCATACCTCAATGTGGCAGCGCAAGCTCCTGATCAGAAAATAACCTTAATAATTAGACGCAATCTGCTAAATCTGGTCATCGTTCAACTTGCCTGACCAATAGATGCACGTAATGTATATTAGTGTAAAAAAAAAAAAAACGCGATAACGGTAATACAGCTTTGCCATTCTTTCCTTCCTTGAATAATAGTTGAGTTTTGCGTATTTTAATTTAACTCTTCTTTTTCTGCTGCGCGTGTCTTTTGTTAAAATTGTTAGAGCGAACAACCAGATAATATGAAAGTGCACTTAGTATGATGCAGTTTCACACCTTCAACCTCAAAGAGGTCAATCAATATTTCGTTTATTTTTTATTATTAGTTGTAATTCCTGGCAATTTATCAATTCAAATTCTAAGGTGTCTCATTCACAGCAATATTTTAACGAGGCAAATTAAACCAACTTTTATTTACTGTCCTCACCCTTGTTATTAGTAAAATAATTTTTCAGTTTTATTTTCAAAGATAACACTCAACATCATTGAAATATGAAAAGTCTATCAAACTGCATCCTGCAATGTTATAATCTTGAGCTTAAATCGCAAATAAACACGTCCATTTTCTTTGTTTTTTTTTTTGTTTTAAAAGCAGGGTGGCAACAGCACAAGGTTCAAACTTTTCTTACTACAGTCCTACTCTCTTGTGAGGCTTTTATATGAAGCACTCGAAAAACGAAGCATCTTTTCTGTAGAAGAAATTTCGGCCGGCTGATTGAGCGAATGCGGGACAACTTGTACTGCCTTGGGCCGTATTTAGCATCTACTAATAAATAGGTTGACAATCTTTTTTCAGCCGCATTATTGAATCATTCTAAAACGTTACATCGTCGCGCTGTAAAACATTCCATCGCCTCTAACTCCTAGATAGCCAGAAGAGATACTCCGCCGACACGGCAACAAATTACACCACAGAAGCCGAGGCGTCATGTTGTTGGATGTCGCCATCCTGGCGGTTAGTGCTAGAAATTCTTGCAAAAAGTACGAGCGAACGCGAGTGTCGCCGTTGTCGCAAAGACACAACTCCGGGCTGCTGAAACTACCGAGGACTGTCAAGTTGAAGAGCGACCTGCGGCAGAACAGGCATCTGCCTCATTCACGAGCGCCGCTGGGACACCGCCAGGATCGCAGGCGGCGTCAGTGTCGCTTCCATAATGTCAATGAGCGGAATAAAAGGAACCACGTTTTTGGACGGAAAAAAAAACAAAAACAAAAAAACACTCATCGCAGAGTCGTTCCAGGCCCCATGGGCCTCCTGCGTTGCCCAAAGGGTGCTGGGTGACGTGACTTCTTTACAAGTAATTGGTAGTACAAACTTGCGTGTCTCGGAATGTTACACGTGTAGAAGCCTGCCTGCTTTGGTGCGGAACGCGATTACGAGCGAAGTGCAAAGAAACGGCAAAAATATGAACGCCGCCGTAGCCCAGGTCAGACTTGAGACGCTAAGTGCGTGGGCCAAGAAGCGCCGTTTCAAGCTTTTCAAAGTAAAAAAGAAGATATACCGAAAAAAAAAGAGAAGCGTCGCGATGCCAGATATTCTGACGTCACGACCCAGAGATACGAGACGCCTACCCTATCGCTTGTATCCTGAATCCCGCAAATGTGGTTGTTCTACAGCGTGAAATATAGCCGACATCGAACGTCTAAATGTATTTTGTTTTCCTTCTTCAGCGCTACAAAGAAATATTTAAAAAAAACTCAGCGAGGACACAAGAGGTGTAATATTCAATCAGGTGAGCTAGTACTAACCAAGTAGAGGGCGCAGCAGTTTATTCAAACCCTTCAGCAATACCAAATAGAAGACAAGACCCGCAGATTTTCGCCCAAACATCATCACTAGTGTTTTCGCGTAACGCCACCTGGTTTGAGTCAGCAGGGCCGTGAGCGCGGCGCAGGGTCTCTCTCACCAAGCACGCCCCTTTCACCCGGTGACGCCAAGGCGGAAATATCTCCCACTTTGCGGCGTCTTTTGTAGAGCTTCAGCGCGTTTGCCGCTTGAGGCGGGTCGGGAATCCAGTAACCATGACGTCATGTGTTCCAGGTGGTGTTGGCTATACTGGGCGGAAGTCCGTCTTCTTCTTGCACAGTATTTGCCATGAAGTCTAAACGCCGAGCTATAATTGGCTGATTCAAGAACAAAATAGTGGGTAGACATCAAGGCACCTAGCATTGAGGTCTACCCCCTATCCTTCCCAGTCAAAACCCAGCAGAACTCGGCGTCGTTCTTTACGACACCGCAACCCCAGCGACTTGCTCTCCTTATAGATACCACCATGGCGGTTTTCTTAGGAACTCGTATGACGACCCTTGAGTCTCGTGGGGACACCACAGGACGATCATCAACCGCTCTCCATCAATCTTTCGCGGCTCGATGGCTGACACCCGGAAGAGGTTCGCCAGAAATAGTTGCGTACGCATCCCGCTTTCCCGATTCTAATAATAAGATCGACCAAGCCCTGCAGAGGTCGCCACCCCCGAATACCGTTGCCCAGCACTGCCATGGAGGTGGTGGTGTGGACGTGGCTATAGGTTCAGGTAAGACGTTCGGTTTTCGGAATTTATTTCTCAGGGATTTGTGCGTTATACACAAGATTCCAGTTCGCTAAGATACATCTTTCCTGGCATCGCTGTCCGGTAACTGACACACTATGTGTGAAGACAAATTGGTGCAAAAAACAGGGTCTACTAAAACAATTTACAAATAGTTTTTTTTACAGAAAATTAGACTACGCACTGCCTAACACTCGTTTCTCGGCCTAATGTAGCGCTAATGGTTCGAACCAGAGACCAAAAATTTCAAACTGACGGTTATCTTATCAAGACGTTATAACGTTATAAGGCGATTTTCTGAAAATTTCCCTGGGAAAATAGCGGCCGGCGTTGCCTTGGAATACATTGAACTGAAGGATCACAGTTACCGAAAATGGGCCCTAGCTGCCCATTAAAATTTGCAGATCGCTTATAGCTTTGGAATAAGAAAGTGGTCTGTTCTGAAATTTTCGCACCTTGTTTGGACCGCCAGCTCTACTTTTGGGCGGAAAATGAGCCTTTGTGGCTGTGGGTACTCTATTTTTGCAGGCACGCTGTACATTCTGCTGTACACGATACCAAGAGAGAGCGCAGTGGTATCAGTGCAGAAATTGTGTGTCTGGTTTCTCGAAGATTTGTCATCGCTTATTCTAGGAAAGGCACTCTAACCCTAGCCAATCTTAATGCATACCAGCACTGAAGTACCTATTTACAAGGATCGAGGAGTGATAAATATATTGAATATCAAAATGTCTACACCATTTATAACGGTGCCTGTTTGTTTCCATCCAAAGAGCAATACGGTATTCAGACTACCTTGCATTGGTAAGTAGGAAGACCCACTAACTCTTCAATATATCTAGCAATATTTGTAGAGAATAATAAAATAATGTGTAGGTACTGGAAAGACCAATGAACTGTTAGCCACGCAATATCTGTTTTTATTTCAGTTATTATTCTTTCTTACGTCCATATATTGCGCAGTTAATATAAATGGTCATACCCTTATAATAACACTACCTTTTCGAATATGTTCTACTAAAGTATTTAGGACCATCAAAACGAAAAAAAAACCAGACATGGTCAAAATGTTCCCATAAAAATCAATATTTCTTCATTGAATGCGAACCTTCAGTCCGTTCTTACTTTACAAATGAAAAAAAAAAAGAACAGTGAAAGTTGTTACGTGGTTACAAACCGCTGCTGTTCCGACATTTCGTTGGTAATGTCACAGCATTCGGTCGATGAACATACAAAACCGTAATTAGGTGAATTTCCATCGTGAAATCAGGTCAAGCCCTGTTTCGACTCTTGCGGCTGCAAAGCTCTTTCATAAACAAAAAAGGAGAAAACTTTTATTTTATACCGGTTT